AAAAAAACCCTGTCTTCCTACTTTTATTTTATTTTATTCCATCAGAATTTAGAAACTTAGATGAGGATTACACTCATTCTAGAAAAACAATGATAAACAAAACAGGGCTTCACTTGATGAGAAGGCAGCCTAAGAGGAGGCTGGCTATTTTTGTCAAATACTTCTTCAGATTTCGGAGACCAGCTACTATCGAGATAATCCAGACCCCACGACAAGATACCCCTTGCTTTACCATGAGATTAATCAGTAACCTGGTTCCTGAAGCTGGTATCTGTTTTATAGGAGGCAAAAATGGCATGTTCCTTTACAAAGGCTGCTCAGCAGCTATCCCAGCTGCTGCTGACTGGGCAAGTCATATCCAGGAGACTGGAGTCCTCACTGCTAAAACAGATCCATTCCCTCTCCCAGAAGAGATTCAGAGACTTTGAACTTACTCTGAAGTTCCTCATCTTCTGCAAAGGTGGGATTGTCCATCAGATACTGCTGAGCTTCCGACCAAGTGGTACAGTAAGTGACATTAGCCATGTTATCTAGTATGTTCTTCAAAGCTTCCCAATTTCTCTTTCGTAACTGCTTAGCTTGTTCCTAAGAAAAAATAAATTTGTTTTCAACTTGTATAGACAAAAAGTACACGACCCTCAGCATGTTCTCAAAGGAAACAAAATTAACCTTTTGTTCACAAATAAAGCAGTATGACACATTTTGGACGTATCTACTGTCTTTTTACATATTACCATGACTGCCATCCCTGCATATGTCATTTTAATACTATAATCTCTGGCTACTCCAAAGAGATGACAAACGTCCATAGAAAACAGCTCATCTTTGGAATACTGCTAGTAAACTACCAGCAGAGCTATTCAACTATTCAGCAAAAAGTCAGCACTGTTAGGAAGCCCTATGGACCACTGTAGTGGACCAATCTAAAAGAGGTGCTAAGCACAGACCTTAAGCAGTGCTGTGTGGATGCTGCCCCTTTTTTGTTTGTTTGTTGCTTGGGGCAGACCTTAACACTAGTCAGGTTTTCTGAAATAGTCTTGCTACACCCTTGATTTTTAGTCACCTATTTGTTTCCTATCTGCCTAGGGAGGCTGGTAAGTGCTAGCATGATAGTAAAGCAGCTGCTAAATATCAGTGGGGAAAAACTGACTGGATATAATAAGGACCAAATCATCAATTCAAGTCAGTACTCTACCACTTCTCTGTAGCACAGCTTCACTATGTGATTCAGGGCAGTTTAGAATAAAAGCTACCACATAACTTATTAAAACAATATTAAAAAATATATCAGAGAATTTGCCACAACTTATCTCAGTAAGAACAAGCAACAGGACCTTTCAAAAAAACTGCTATTATAATTGCTATAGTGGGTCAAATCAGAGGTTTGTCTTGTTTATCTACCAGCAGACCAACACTCAAGTAGCCAAAGATTGAGAACAAAAAAGTGATCTACCCTTTGCACGCCTGCCTAGTTTCAGACAGTTAGCTGCTCAGGAAAATTTGATTTCCAGAATATTACTCTGCAGCAATGCAGTGCAAAACTTCATTTACAGACTGCGTGGAAACAGAACTTCCATCGTTTATTAAGATAACATCAGTTAAGTTCATCATATTCCACCTGCTAACTCTATTTGGATGCCCCTTGCATTTTATACAGTAAGAAATAAAAAACTGTCTCCAAATTCACCTCTCCGAAACCAGTCAGTTTTGAAGAGTTTCATCACTAGTACCTCCCTTTTTCCCTTTCCCATCACATCTTCCTGAACAGAAGAGCACTCCCTACCATGTCTCATACCTGATCAACCCTGTCTGCCTTTGTTACCTTTCCTAGCTCTCTCCCTTTGGAGAGGGATAACCTGACCTGTTCACTGCAACCAGCACGTGGTTCACAGGAATACAACACTGCTCCCACTTTGGTCTCTGTAGCTTACTGACACTCCTCCCCTTCTGCTTTCATTTTGACTGTCCCTGAAAAATGTGTTCAATAACTTTTTTAAGCAATCTACACTGCTTGCAAGACCTTTTTTTTCCCCCTGAGTAGCATAAACGAATTAACACATAACAAGTGAAAAACATGTTTGAAGTTACCTTCTCTTTCTTAGACAGGAAAAATAAGACATCTTCATAAATTTCAAGGCGATCGCGCTCAGAGATGGCATTCCAGACTTCCATCTCCCCAAACATTTGTTCAGCTTTTCTACACAAAATAAGGAGGAAAACATACAATAATTTATTGCAAATACTAATTTAAAGCACCCCACTGGCTTACAATAACACAGATCAACTGCATTATAAGCAGCAATGCTTTTGTACAGCAGCTCCCTAATTTTCTATCTTGATATTTACCCTAGGCTTAAGACTGACAGAGTCCTCCCCTCCTGATGGCACCCATCTCTCTTACTATGTGCACACAGTAGGTTTAAACAACTTTTCAAGCCCAGAAATTCAATCTCTGCTCAGAGTAATTAGCTGCACCTCCAAAGAGATTCTTTGCACTGGATACACCAGTATCATGTTAGACTTCCAAGAACAAGCTATCCCGTGTATTTTCTCCTACTGGCAGATGTGACACAGAATCCCTCTCACAATGTCTTGTTTCATT